GTCCTCCTCCTCTTCTTCTTCGTCCTCCACATCATCATCCGGTGGGTCCGGCACTGTTTCACCTTTTGCTTCTGCTTCTTTTTTAGCTTGTTCATACCTTCAGCACAGTGGACTTCAGCCGTTGGAAACATATCCAGCCAGTTCTTACTGGGAAATCCCTCTTCAAATTATAGCTCCCGCTCAAAGACCTAAAGTGCAAATGCAAACTGCTGAATCAGCCACACCGCTCAGCTTCATACTTTAGCTTCCGCAGCATTAGCTCCTGCGTTCTTTGGGCCCTCTTTGCGGCCTGTCTCAACCACGCATCATGTGAGTATAGAATAATCCCACTGATGTGGAACACATCAAGGCAAACACATTAATATATCATATATATATATAAATATGTTGTTGTTGATTTCCCGGTTGTGACTTGTGACACTTGAGCAGTTCTTGCGGCAAGCTTTGACAAAACAATCCCAGCGTGAAGGACGAAAGGACTCCATGAGTATATAATATATATATATATATGTACACATTTGTCGATGGTATCAATGGTATCATTGGCTTTTGTACTGAAGAAAGCTTGTGTCGATCCTTCCGGTGGAGTTATATAATAGGCTGGAAGATACGCACTACTACACCTAAGAGCACATTGCTTTGCCAAAAAGGCATGTTTGACGACGTGCACTGTTTGAGATATGTCTGGATTGTTGTTACCTTTGCTCTAAAAGAAGGTGCTACCACAAAGCTCCCCCACATTTGAGCATTCACGAGCCAAAGAAGAGAACCCCCAACAACTAAGTCCCAAGCTTTCCGCTTCTCCTGGAGATCACTACTTAGCTTTGAGATCGACTGAGAACTCATGTCATCTTAGCAGGCCAAAGCAACAAACACAACTCTAGCCAAGTCTTTAACATGATAGACAACTTACAGTAATGGTCGATAAGGAACCACAAGGAACGTCCGCATGCAACACCTAAAGAGAAATGCTGGCTGCTTGCCTCTCAAATTCTTGAAAAAGGAGAGCAGGCTCAACTTTCTCAACCGCTCAGCCATAGAATTATCATTTTTAGCTTGCCTTCCTTTATTTGGAAATCTTTCCAAGGCGGCACAAATATCATAGAGTGAATCAGTGTGAATTTGATTGTTTGTCAAATGGGAGATGCACATGTGTATATAGAGCGACGTGGAATATTAGACCTCGGATCGTGACAACTTCAGCAAGATAAGATACGCTTTCCAAGGTCAATTTGCAACCCCGACTGGTCCTTGTCCATCTGCTTTTGCCTCTTCTGTAGCAGAAATTGCTGCTTTTCCTCACACTCTTCAAATTTCCAAGCAAGCGCAACCAACATTAAATTGACGCTTAAAGCAACAACGACCTGCCTGCGTCTGTTTGGCTCTGAACTCTGTGTCTGAAATCTCCTGCTTGACCTGAAGCGGCTGTACTTAAGGGTGCCCCACTCCAGCCCCATTGAAGATGCGCAGCACTTGCCCATTTTAGTTTAGTCCATGCACTGGATTGCGGAAGGACATGTGCCAGTCCAATGAATCCCATGACTCACGACTAACGGTGACTAACGACCCTCGTTTGCTTGGTACCGCACACGGAGAGTCACATCCTGTCAAGAACACCGTACGCTGCACATGACCCCTTAGCCCCTTGACCAATGACTGTCATGTAGTCAACACGAAGCTCCGGTCCATTGCCATAAACTTAGCACAATTCAGCCACAGCCAAGTATCATTTCATGCCAAACCGAAGCAACTTAAGCTTTAAGGAGCGCCAACACATCTATAAATTAGACTTTACTTTGAGCTACCTCCACTGGGCCGGTTGTTTCCCCTAGGCCCTTTTGACGGGTATTGGCAGTCCTATCTCATGCGTCATTGTCTTGGCTCCTGCTGTTGTCATGTCATTGCTGTTTCCAGTCTCGCTGGCCATTGCTGGTGCCAGTGTGGCTAAATGTTGGGGACTTGTGGTTGGTGCCAGTCTGACTTGTCATTGACATTGTCATTGTGGTTTGTCATGCTGGTTGTCATTGATGTTGCTACGAGGCATGGGATCATCATGCTGCTGCATCACTGCCAACGCCACAGGCGGCAGGGCCCACTGTCAGGATGCTTGCTTGAATTGGCGGTTTGGACAGGTGCTGGGGTATTATATAGGTGGAGCTGCTTCTTGCAGTATCAGTAGCGTTGGGCTGGCAGCTAGATCGTGGCATTGCATGATGCGTGGCATAGATCATGCGGATCATAGGCCTGGCCATATTTCTTGAAGGCCAGTGGAGGCTCACCGAGCAAAACCACAGCAACGCCTTGGTTGCACTGCTGCAATGGGTGCAAATCTGATAACAAATTACTGTATATACCATGTATGAGCGTTTGGTGCCGAAATATAATCCGTACCATGACGGTCGTCTGGGTATTCATGCTTCTTTCAGATTATAAAGCAATCACCAAATGCAGCAGAGTCTTCATATGCATGTTGGCTGGTAAAACGAGGAGCTTTGTCGCTGAACTGACTTTAATGCTAGACAGGACATTCCATCCTAATTACTTGCCTTAACAACTCAATCAACACACAGTCTTGCACCTATCATTGTGCCACAATTGGCCATTGGACAAGCAAGTCACACGCGATCCCCTGCAGCGTCCATATAGTAGTAGGCACATGCCTGTATTGTATAAACGTATAGACATATTCCCCCAACATTGCTGTCCTTTGCTTCCCTTACCCCTGGCATAATTTCTTGGCAGTCAGACGCTTGAAGTTTGCCCAGCGGGAGAGTTGCTCCATTCGCTCAGCCTGAAAGCAAAATATGAAAGTAAGTCAATAGGCATGAACGCTGTGGCTTGTACTGTTGCAAGATTGGCTTCTGCAGCCATCCCCAGTTGCAATCCAGTCGCGCAAGTGATGAAGAATACCAGTAGGTCAACAAAGCAAGGTGAGAGGCCATCACTGTGCTTCTGACCCTGTTTGCACTGAATAGCAAAACATCAAAGCTGCATGTTGCACCATGGACACAATAGTTATTGTCCGTCCTTGAGCAAATTGCCACGGACTTCCATGACGACATAGTTCCTGCCACTGTCGGATTGACATCTTAATGACGCTGGGTGCTTCTGCACGGGTAGCAGGCTACGCTAACAAAACCCATTAGCACAAAACGGGTGCTACAACAATGAAGTATTTAAGTACTATATTATATGTATTAACTTAAAATTAAAAGACAAAACCCATGAAACAAAAAGGAGTCCTAGAAGAAGGACAAACTGAAAACTGAGATGAACAAGGACGGGAGCCTTGCCTCCCGTTGTTAGTTCATATTCTCATAACCGTCACAAGCACTCTTCTCCGACCAAGCATGCTTCTCCACTACCCTTCTCTGCTCTTACCCTCTAGTCCACACCTCTGCTGAATGGGTGCAACCGCATGAAGCACTCTGCGGACACAAAGGTCATCCAATGCAAGCACACCCATGCCTGAGCATAGATACAAGGTGACCTCTGTTGAAGTTTGAAAGGTGGAATGTTTGCAACAGCCTTCGTTAGGAATGTGGCAAACAAGCGTGCACACAGACACACTCTATATGACTTGGACTTGCCTATGGTCATAAACTCTTTCTGACAGGACAAGCGCTACTCAGCTAAAATCTGCTGGCTGGTTTGGCATCATCTAATCTTTGCTGCCGAGGCACCCATCTCTGGCTTGTCGTTTGAACCTCTGGCAGTGATGCCATAGCCTTTGGGTCTGGTGAGGCCACCTGACAGCGAATTCTCGGCAGTTTATTGAGAGCATTGGAAAGAGCATTCAGTGGAGAGGTGTTTCATTGAATTGTTGTCTTTGTCAAGGACTTTGTGATAAGCATGTTCAATCTAACACCTGCAGGAGTAAAAAGGATATATATATATATATTTGTTCAGTCAACAGCAATGCTTGTTTGCCTTGTCTGTCATCCTTCTGGTGGCTTTGATCTGGGAATCCACACTTTTCTCACACCAGCTCAACAAAGCGCGATCGCCTTTCTTCGAATTGAAGTGTGACACACGCACACCTACACTCTAAATATTCTGGCAAAAACCTCTATAATTTGTGTATATATATATATACACATCATATATACAAACCACCAACTCCCCAAACAAACAAGCATCACCAAAACCTGTATATCTTGAAATGTGCCGATTGAAGGTCATCAAGCACCAGGTTTGCGTAGACAGCCAGTAATTGCCACTTGCCACATGTGTGTCCCAAAGTCATCCCAAATTTGACATCGAGCTGGCAAAACACTCCTGTGCAAGCAGGAGTGGGTGCAAACTGATATGTTTGTATTTCTCAACAGTAAATTGGTGATATTATGTTGTCATAGCCTTGGAAACGTGACAGAAAAACACCATTGCCGTACAACTTTCTACCCACAAGGATTGGCCACACCGAGAATAATCGGACTTCAAACTCAAATAAGTCTGTCATCAAAGCAAAAAAGCATCCCAGGCAAGTGTCAAACAATACCACAACATTATCTGAACACACATCATATCCCATCATTGACATGGGTGACAGCATCAACATCAGCGAAATCATCATGCTATTCACGTCATTGGCCCACTTGTCCTATGGATTTCAACAGGAATGTCACTTCTTTGCTAAGCGGCTTAATTCCACATAGTGCGGATGCTTTTGAAGAAACCTCAGGTTCAGGGAACAGGGAAAACACAGGCAAGTGTTTAAATGTACCAAACAGAATTTACATAAAGTCCAAACACACTATCTGGCAGTCTCTTGCTGGAAATTGCTTGACTTTCTCATGTGTGTCGTTGGCTGAAACAGCAATGAATAATTTGACAGCAAATATGGCGGAAACATATGACATGTTGGTCGCAGGTGAGCTCAACAATTATTTATATATATATACATTGTAACTTCAGTGGTAGGCCGAACAGCATTAAATAGACTTATACAAGCGTTCATGCTTGACAAATTTAAGGCATTCACCGGCGTCACCCCTACCCTACTACGTGAAATCTTTGACCCCCAGTCCCTCACCTGTGGCACCAAGGAGCTGATCTAACCAATCGAAACCACCTTCGTCAGGCAGCGAGACTGGAAGAAGCACCTGCAAGATGAAACAACATAAATCTCTTAGTATACACAAGCATACACCTACGCATGTGCTCCAAACATGAACCGTACCTCATACTGCCCATCTGCATGAACTGTATGCTCCTTCTTCTTGCTAACGTCAGGCATCAACACCTCCTGATGGCACAACTCGGCTGAAGGTCAGTGTGCAAACCAATATACAACAAACAAAACTGAACAAACAAGTATTGGCGCTAGCGTGCATGAAAACATGCGAACAGGATTGCACCACTAACCTTAACCATAGCGCATGCTATCACCTTTGATGGCAACCTAAAAACCATATCCTTGGAATGGGGCTTGGATACTTCTCCACATATTTGTCTTCGACACCCATTAATGATATTTATGATTATCAACATGTACGTAGATAAAGACATTCCTCAAGGAGGGCTTCCCGCCACAGGAACTCCACCGCACATCAGCCGCATGAAGCATCTATCGTTACCAGTTGGCCGAGGTGGTAGGGTCCTTCTCATCCAGGGCCAAAACAGGAAAGGCGATGGTTACATGGCCGTGAGGGCAGCTCGAACAACAATCAAATACGTGACTCTATACTGATAATGACATAGTTAGCCAGGACGTTTCAATCATCTTATCCAAGCGTCGTTGATGGTCTTGCACTTGAACGGCAATGGCGTGATGGTTGCAGGCCCAAAGTTGTAGTGAAAGCTGACCTTAACAAATCAGTCGACCTAGGAACTGACAATTTGTGTTCCGCAAATTGCACCCCTTGCAGTCTAAATGCTGAAGACTTCCAATCGAACCAAAGCAAGTGCAATTAGGCACCTTATGGCAAATCACGGCGACAATGTTGTCTTGAGCTTCCAGCATTTTTGAAGGTCATCATGGGATACAGTGCCTCGAACACCAAAGCAAAAGACCTCTCTGGTTGTCTCAACCAAATGTACTACTATTGGTGAAATGCTAACATATTACAGTATATATATACACACTACACTACATGTATACATTACGGTCTATGTATATATATATATTATAGTTGTTGTTTGCTTGCTTGCTTGCTTGCTTGTTTGTTTGTTTGCTTGTTTGTTTGTTTGTTTGTTTGTTTGTTTGATACTTGTTATGATTGGATTTGTCCAGGGATGGACCTTCAAATTTTGTTTTGTTTTTTGGGAATGAAATCGGCTAAACAATCAAAATACACACTCTTTCATTCCCCTTCAGCGGTCATCCAGCCGGGCAAACGATTTCTTAAGCGGCAGGCAGCCAACTTATGCGCCATAGCTCAAGTTTGGGTTCTGGAAAATGGAACAAAGATCCATTTAATGCACGTGCGCTACAAGAAAGCAGGGCATCGGCAATGGGGCGTCTTCGATTCCATTGTAGTATTGTGAAGTGCCCTGTGGTTCCAGCAGACCTCTTTGACAATTTTTTTTAAATATATGCTTCGCTCAACGGTCTCAAACATATCCCCTTTCAACTTTCAATGGTAATTTGCCCCCGCCAATTGGCAAAATGCTACTCAAAGTGACTCAAAATTTAATTGTCTGCAAAACATGCCATATCCAAAATACTATATTGTTTCAGCGCAAAGTAAGCACCCTGCTTTGCAAAGGGGGAGGTCTAAGTTTTTCCTGCCTTCGTTCGCTCCAATCAACTGAGCGCTGAATCAATTCGGAATTAACTTAGCCATTTTGTGGCATTTTAATGGAATTATATAACTCGTTCCTTTCCCATCCCGGTTATATTCAAGTGTGTGTGAAACTCTCCTTCATCTGTGTCACACATCTTACGGACTAACCTTTAGCATTCCACATAGTGCTGCAGGACCTGTGAGCAAGTCGAGCGCGGTTCCGTTTAAAGGGTCTTTGCAAGTTTGAGTTTTTTCATTGGTTTCCTCCTACATTCTGTGATGCTGCTTGGAGGCAACTGAATGCACTTTTACCTGCACATGCCAGTTCTAGCAAAAGCAAGATTTGTTGCTTGGAGTTCAGTGGTTTGATGTAAAGGAGTGGGCCCAAGGCACTGAGAAACAAATTTTTATCGCTGCTTCTTCCGGACTTCAGGCAACTTACATGAATTCGAGGATTGCGATGAAATAAATTTGTTTAACCAAAGTAAGCGCGAGATGGTCTTCGAAACAGAAAAGGACGTTATACGGGTGTGTGTTTTCTCCAGTGTTCTCGAAACCGTTTGTTTTAGGACTTTGCATGTTGAAGGCGTTCAGACGTTGAGGACGAGACCTCGTAGTTGTTGGTAGGTGTTCGCTGTCTGCTCGTGAGTAGTAGTCTTCCTAGTTCACTGGATCTTGGGGGGGTTCGACCAACATTTATTAGTGTTGTATTTTTATGGTATCCTTCTTTTTTGGCCGACCCCCTTCTTTTTTGGCCGACCCCCCCCGAGGTACTACCTGTGGGGCATCAAGCTCCCACAGGTCACAAGGTGAATGGCATGAAGCTCCCACAGCTCACAGAGCGAATGGCATTACCATCACCATTGCCATTAACATTGGCACAGGTCAATGGTGAATGGCCATTACCAGAAATATGGCCCATTAGCATTATAAAAAACTTTCATATGGTAAGGCCAGAATCCTTGATTAAAAAAAAGTCAAAAAATAAAAAGAAACAAAAATGTCCAGTCAAGCGACTCAGGAGCAAAAGAAAGCCGGCATATATATATATGGAAAACACAAGCAAAAAGGACAACAACATTGAACTAAACTAGTAACAAGCTCATAAGTCAGCCAAGGCAAATTGCGGCCTTTTTGCTTATGGCTTATGGCTTTCAGTCTATTAAAAACTCTAGAACCTTTTTGGTTGTTCAACTTTCACCTTTTCCAGCCCCAAGCCAGCCCCAACCCCCTACCCCAGACTCGCAGGATCCCTACCCAGCCCCAGCCACTGTCCCAGGGTCTCTTCAGCCCCAAGCCAGCCCTGTCCACACTGTCGTGGAGCTTGGAGCAGATGACCTCTCTGCTCCAGGTTTCCTGCAGAATGCCTACTCTCCAACAAGATTCGTCAAGTCCCTCCGGGAGGGTTTCGTCCAAACAGCTCGAAGGCCGACGATCCACCGAGGAAGCTGGGGTCCAACTGGCCGTGATGGAAATAACCCGTGACACGATCAATCGTCCAACGAGTAGGACGATTGAAATCAGAAACAACAAACGCACGCATGGCCTGGATGGCATCAAGAAAGGGGGAACCAAGGGGGTTTTAGTTGCTAGAAACAACACTACGCATCAAGAAAGGGTGAACCAAGGGGGTCTTGGTTACTATCTCCACAAAGTATCCAATGGTGATTATGAAGATCATTGTGGAGCTGGAGGGGTAGATTGACTTGCACGACAGGGGTTTTCCTAACCCGCATTAGACATGCGCCAGCAGGAGCCACAAGTGGCGGAAGTTGTGGGCCACGCAGTCTAATCGGGTTTCACAAGCGCGAGCTGGTGACCTCCAACATGAGGGTCAGGAAATTTGCGTTCAAGCTTCAACCCAGTGCGTTTCCCCGATGTCATGTAGTCAACAAAAATATCAGGTCTTTCTGTCGCTTGTTTGCCATGGGCAGCAAAAATCTGTTTGCGAAAAACTTTTTTTTTGAGTTTTTTGCGTTGATCTTTGTAGTGTTGTTCACCTTTCGCAAGGACCCACCTTGTGATGCCCTGAGGCAAAGCAGCCGGACAGAAAGGGCAGCGAGCGCGGCTCAGAAGCCAAGAGGCAGAAGGCAGATCCTGCCAAGTTGTTAGCGGCAGTAGTGAGTTGCAAAGGAGAAAAATGTTGATCGCCATGGCAGCGCAAGCAAAGGCTGTTTTCATCACAGCGCAGCTGGCTAGCAACAGCATCAGCAGTGATGTCGGCTGCCCCCAGCCTTTAATTCCGAATTCTAGTCTTTTCGTTTTTTCATTTTGTCTTTTCTTTTCAATATATATTTTTCTTTTGAAAAATTATCCAAGTGACTCTTGTGGGGCCTTGAATTCAGTTTTTAGTTTCAGTGCTAGCAGAAGTGTAGTTGGTCTTCTTCGTACTGTCGTACTGAGCCCAGGTAGCTCAGCCCGCATCCACCACGAGGCGGTGAAGACCACATAGATGGCCATTATACCCCTACCATTACCATTACCATCAGCATTACCATTGCTATTGGCATCAGCATTGCCAGTACCATAAGCATTAGCATCAGCATCAAGCTCCCACAGGTCACAGGAAAAATGCATTAACGTTCCCATTAGCATGGTGAATGGCATCAAGGCCCACATAGCATGGCCACAGGTGAAGGGTGAATGGCATTACCAGTACCATAAGCATTTCCATGAGCATTACCATTGCTATTAGCATTGTTATTCGCATTCCCAGTACCATATGCATTCGCATTGGCATCAAGCTCCCACAGGTGACAGGGAAAATTGCATTGCCGTCCCCATGAGCATGGTGAACGGCATCAAGGTCCCACATAGCATTGCCACAGGTCAAGGGTGAATGGCCATTACCAACACCATTATCATTGCTATGAGCATGACCATTGCCACTAGCATTAGCAGATTAGCATTCGCATTGTACTTTAAGCAGTAGCATTAGCATCAGCATCAAGCTCCGACACATTACCGTTCCCATTAGCATGGTGAATGGCATCAAGGCCCCACAGCTCACAGAGTGAATGGCATCCCATCTCCATTGCCATTAGCATTTCCATTTTCCATTGACATTATCATCACCACAGGTCAAGGGTAAATAACCACTACCAGTACCATTAGCAGCACCATGAGAATGAGCATTGTCACTTGGATTCGCATTACCACAGGTCAAGGGAAAGTGGCATCAAGCCCCCACAAGTCACAAGGTGCATACCTCCCACAGGTCAAAGGGTGAATGGCACTCCATAACCATTGTCATGAGCATTACCATTGCCATTAGCGTTGCCACACGGCAAGGGTGAATGGCCATTACCAGTACCATTAGCATTGCCATTAGCATTCCCACTGCCATCAGCATTAGCATCAAGCCCCCAGAGTTCACAAGGTTAATGGCACTATCATCTTCATTACCACAGATCACAGGGTCCATGGCATCAAGCTCCCACAGGTCGCTGAGTGGCATTACCACCACCATTGCCATTAGCAAATTATCATCACCATCTGCATTACCATTGCC